GGGGAGCAGGCATGCTCCCAGGACAGAGTGGTAACTTCACGGGGAGCAGGTATGATCCCAGGACAGAGTGGTAGCTTCATGGGGAGCAGGCATGCTCCCAGGACAGAGTGGTAACTTCACGGGGAGCAGGTATGATCCCAGGACAGAGTGGTAGCTTCACGGGGAGCAGGCATGCTCCCAGGACAGAGTGGTAACTTCATGGGGAGCAGGTATGATCCCAGGGCAGAGAGGCACAGCCTGCATGAGGTTCCTCACACCACCCCATTGAGAGTCTGTTTGAAGTCCTGTTAGAATGACTTTCTTAACAATTCCATGCACCAGTGTGGGGAAATGTCTAATTCTGGTCCAAGAACAAGCACTGTCCTTCCATGCAGAGTCTTGAAGCCTCTTCCTCAGCTTCAGCAAATGAAATTGAGACAATTGACTGAGGATGTGGAGGGGCAGACAGTGAGAGCAGGGAGTGTCCCCAGCTCAAGAAGGCGATGACCTTGTCCTTTGGAGAGGAGCCCTGTGGTAGATGCTCACCTTTACCGCCTCCATTGTCTTGCCCTCTCCTGCTGCCAGGAGTAACAGGCTCCAGGAGCTGGCAGTAGTGACTGCAGAGTCCTGGGCACCTTTCATGTTTTCTCCCTCACTTCCCAATAGGGATAAAACTTTGGATGTGAGTGTATCCTTAATTTTGATAGGCTTCCCCAGCACTTCACAAAGCAGTCGATCAGGGTGAAGGCGAGCGGTTTCTTGCCTCTTTTTAGCCTCTGTTGCGCTGTAGCCGCTGGAGTCAGAGTCCTTGCTGCTTTTTTGCCTGTCTGCACTTGCTGTAGCATTTGTCAATATTAAATTTAATTTGTGCTCGGAGCACTTTGCTACCGGGGAAAACACAAAGCTCGCTGAACTTTACCTTCCCTGTGTGTTCAGTCCAGCCAGCATTAGCAAGCCTAATGAACTCTGCAAGGTTGTCCTACCCAAATGTAGGTCAACTCTGTTGACTGAACACATTGTGTGTTTAGAAACTGACCTTGTAAAATCCACTTGAAATTTATCTACCTCACAACCCAATGAATTGCTTGTTCTTTTACAATAGAATGTATTTGTGTCCAAGCATCAATCCAATGGGTCAACATTAAAGTGGTCAACATCAACAACAGACATTTATTGAGCGCCTATTGTGTGCAAGGCACTGTACTAGGTGTGGGGCTACAAAGACAAAGGAGAGACAGCCCCTGCCCTCAAGGAGCTTACAATCTAGTCTAACAGACACACACATAGAAAGACACAGGACAATCAAGGTAGCATGTCATACTGGGGCACAAGTACAAAACAGGATCTCAGTCTGTTTTTATTTTCATGTACATTTCAATACCCTGAGTAGGTGGGGGAGTGAGCTCTCACCTTCAAAGCCTTCGGAACAGCCTCACCCTTTCCACTTCCGATGGACATCTTCTGGTGTGCTAAAACCTAGGCCATCTATAACTCCTCTTGTCCCACCTCCTCAGGCTTCACATTTTAGTTTTTTAGGGTTTTGTTTTTGAGAAACTTCAGAGAGGATGACATTCTGTCCTGCTTTGTCCAAGATGACCCTTCATTTAGGACGTAAACTCCTTCCTTTCCCAGTCTAGGCCAGCCAGGAGGCACATAGCTCCTGTACCTTTGTCTTGTAGTGGGGTAGACTCCGGCACCCACCATGCTACTGCTGTAGGAGACCCTACACCAAGTCTGTTCCTACACAGGTCTAGAGTTAACAGCCCACCGGGAAGACCTCACCAACACAACACTGGAGCTTTTTAGAAGACAGAAGGATCTGGAGAGGGTGATGACAAGGAGATGGGGCCTCAAGAGAAGCAGGAGGATGAAGGAAAAGACTAGTGGGTGTGAAATGTGCAGAACAGGAGAGAGGCTTGGACCTTCTGTCAGGGTAGGACTCCCTCTGGGAGTCTCAGGGTCGCTCACCCAGGGTCACGCACCCATGGCAAATGTCTGGAGAGGTACAAAATAGGTACAAAGGTATTTAAACAGCCCTGTCTTCATCCTAACAGAATTTCTACATTTTCTTTCACTTCCTACCATTCATTTACCTTCTAAATAGTCCTTTGAAGTTGAAATATAGTATTTATTTCGATATGAAATTATCTGTGTCTGTTCTGATGTCGTTCAGATGGCTCAGAGACAGAGAGGACTGGGAGACAGGTGCCATGTCTCTAGAACACAAATCCGGTACTAACCTAAGGATTCCGAGAGGCCACACAGCTTACCCTTTAGGGCTGTTTGTTTGCATTTAGTTTTATGAAGCACTGAACTCAGTGCTGTCAGGACCTGTGTGTCCCTGAATCAGTCTGTTTTTACGCCTCGCCCTAAGGAGTAGAGAGTGGGGTGAGTAAAGTATGGGGCTTAGCTCCCTACAGCCTGTTTGTGGAAATAGGAATCACACAGCCAAGTCCCCACACAGCACACTGAATATTTACCTCCTAATGTTCTTTTAATGGGCGTTTTCTTGGGTGAATATTTACTGTAGAATATTAAATGTGAGATTCCTCTTTTTATGGGCCATTTGAAGTGATTGATTTTGTTTGTGGATTCCTGTATCTTTGCCCATAATGGCTATCTATTGTAATGGCCTCTGCCAAATGTTCTTGTGCTGAAATAACAGAAGCCACGGATCGGCCAGCTGTGGCATCATATTACTGTGGTCTTAAAAGATAGGAGGAGGCTGACGATGCCACTGGGGAGAGAAGCAAAAGGTATGCAACACACCAAGTATGACTGAGACTTCAAATCGCCTGAAATCATGAAGTCTGTAAACAGGGTTTGTGTCTTTTCTATCAGAGTTTATGTTTAATGGTGTTGAATGGCGTTAAGTCTGACAGTTCTGAAATGATGGTGGTAAGACATGAATTCAATCGCCCACAACCAGGTCCATCAGCACAAGCCATCAGAGCCCTTGGCATTTTCTTTAATGCTGCAGTAAAACCATGACCCAATGATAATTTCTTACACTTAGCTACACCATGTTTTTGAAAAAAATATATGAAGTCACATATTGTAGCTACATGTGAATTTACAATATTTTCCTGTGAAAGATCCAAGATTCTGGGCGTTTGGTTGCTTCTCATTCTTTTGACTATTTGAGAGGAGGAAATTACAAAAGATGGGCTTATCTTGATATTCTTTGTGGGCCTTTCTTTTTTTCCTTTTAAAAAAGAAAACCAGAAAACCTAAAGATACTCAGACGCGTGCAACAGTAGGTCAGGTGATATAGTTACACTCCGGCAGGTATGCTATTCCAAATTTCCCTAAGTACAGGAATTGTCAAAGGAACCACTTACTTACATTTCAACAAATAATCCCTTCAAGGGATTGTGAAGGTGACCCATCAATCAGTTGTGTGCAATTCATACTCTTCTGCTTGTGTTCATGAGAACACTGCTCAGAGGCCATGCTGTGGTAGAATAAAAGTCATTTTCTTACAAAAACTCAGAAGACACTTGAAGAACGAATTCCACTATGCCTTAGACAGCAATTTCAATTTTTTTTTACTGACTTTTAATAACTCAAGCCACAATAATACTTGGTTTCTGCTGTCTGGATACCTGGACTGTATTTGCACCTCCACAATGGTACTCTGCATAATTAATAGTTCTACTTCATGAAAGGGAAAGGGACATTATCACTAATTAAGAAGAGGGAAAGAACTGGTGATGTGAGACACCTTTAATCACAAGCCCTGTCCTGTTTGTAAAGTAATGCCTGTTCCCTCATGGCATTAGCTGCTGCCTTCAAATCTGTCATTAGATACACTAATGCTCCGTTGGCAGCATGCAAAGAAAAGTCTAGTATAGTCTTTTCTGAGCAACCTAACTTTTTAAAATGAAAATCTGTAATCCTATTGACCTTGGATTTGAATGAAGCGAGTGAGTGAGTCCTTCCTATTACTTCTAAGACTTGCAGACAGTGGGTCAGAATGGTTCACGGGGCAGTGAGCTGTGAGCTGAGGAATGACTTTGTGATCTCTTCTCCACCCCTCCCTCCTTCTCTCACTTTTTTAGAGAGGCAAGGGATAGAGTTTGGATAAGAGAGACCCTGGAGGAAACCTGATTTCTACCTGGAGGACCCTACCATTTCACTCTGACTTGAAATTTCCAGCTACTGTTAGAGTCATGTCAATCCAAGTGTCTAATCCTCATAAAGGTCAGCGAGAGGCTCATATACCCTTAGTTTGCAAGAGGAACTCTAGGGATCTTCCGGTATATTCTAAAGAAGAGGAAAGCAGAACTTCAAGAGAAATTACTTGTATCAGTTGCTACTGAATAAAGCTGTTGTATCTTTAAATTCCTCTCATTAGCATCTTCTTTGTTTTAATAACATAGTTTTTGGTTTTCAACTTTGTTCTTTTGAACATTTATGTATATTAGAAAATGTTATAGCTGTTCTTGTTATGAAAGAGCAATTTGCCTGAGCCAAGGGGTTCAAACAATGCCACACATTTCCCTGTCAAATATAGATTTCAAGCTAATAATGAGCATTGTGAATGCAGTAACTCATCAGCCTGATTCTAGGCCATTCCAACCACCATTCAGGATTAAAGAGTCAGGAAGAATAAATTGCCACATAATCATAATCTATAAAAATACTGCCTAGAGTACACTAAAAAACTCTCAATAAATAAATAGCAGACATTTGCTTTATGAAAACCATTGGAGATGTGCTCTTCAGAAACATGTCCATATGCTCAGGCTTTTTACAAAACACAGAGTCTGACAAATGATGAAGATATAGGTTAGGTTAGGTTATAACCTGATTTAAAAGAAAAAAAGTCTTTTGACATGGATGCCTGTAAAGAAATGCAATTAAAGGTGTTGGGCTGCTCCTGTTTCGGTTTTGAAGGCAATATTTCCACCCTGGAGTGTTCCTAGCCATGGCAGTGTCACGGAAGCGAGGGTTCGGTCTCCTTTCCAAAGAGACAACACTCATCAGGACGCGTTCATTCTGAAAGAGTCTCAGGCTGGGGGTCACTGAAGCGAGGGTTCGGTCTCCTTTTCAAAGAGACAACACTCGTCAGGACGCGTTCATTCTGAAATACTCTCAGGCGGTGGGTTCTGTCCATGGTGCTGAAGGGCACCACTGTCCAGTTTCCTTCCCTGCCTGGAGTTCAAGTCCTTCCTCTCGTGGCTGATGGTGTGGACACCACACCTTACTCTCTGGCACGCGCACCCGTCAGAACACAGGTTTATCCTCAGCATGATTCACAGGGCGTGATTCTGGTTTCCAGTCTGGTTGAAAAAAGTGAATGTTGAATGTCCGTGCCCAGTTCTTAAACACCCGCTTCTCTGTGATGAAACGGTGGTGACTGCCCTTCCGTCCTCGCTCATGCGAGAGGTACATTGTACATTCATCGGGTCCAGAAGGCTCGTAGTAATGATAAGGTACTGAAGGGTGCTTAGGATCCCTGTGGGAGGAAAGCGAGATAACTGTTAAAGAAGAACACAGCAAAACAAAACAAAAACTCAAACCATACACAGTATAAAATGTGCTTTTTCATTGACCAATTCAAGAAGGATGTTATTCTTATAAGCTGAAAGACACAAATTATATTTTCTCATCAGATGAACTTCAGCAGATTTTTTTTTTTTTTTTGTGCTGAAGCAATAAGAAAACAGAGAGGGTTTTGAGGTTGTAAAACAAGTGCAGCATCAGAGAGCTTAGAAATGTGCTGTTGGATGCACAGGCCACAGGCTATAGGCACCGTGTGTGTGCATCGTTATACTAATGCTTCTAGTTGCCACACTTGTTACTAACCTCCCCACAGCCTGAGAACGTTGGAAACAAAAACTAAGCAGTCTGTTTGCCTCCCCACTGCAGCACTCTGTATCCACAGGGTCTTCCCAGTGAGGCATGATTTAAAGGACCGTACCTGACCTGGCTCCTCCCTGGAGTCATTCCCTCCAACCTTGCTCACTCTACTTCAGGCACACTGAACCTTCTGACTGTCAGCTGTACCAACTGCTGTGGAATAATCCTCTTGTACACCGTAAAGATTGGTCATTCGAATTGGTTTAATAAGCACTAATTAGCCAGTAGCCAGGCAGGAAGTTAGGTGGGACAATCAGACTGAGGACTGGGATGAAGAAGGGTGGAGTTGAGAGAGACTTGAGCCAGCCATCCAAGAAATAAGATGCCAGAGGACTGGTAAAGCCACGGCCATGTGGCAATACATAGATTAATAGAAATAGGTTAATTTAAACGTAAGAGCTAGTTAATAATATATCTGAGCTAACAGCCAAACATTTTGTAATTAATGTAGGCCTCTGTGTGGTAATTTGGGAAGTGGCCACTGGGAATTTGGGAACACATGGATGGGACAGGAAAGCTCCATCTCCATTTACAACCAACCATTCCCCTGCCTCAGAGCCTTTGCACTTGAGGATGAGCACCTGTCTGGAATCTTCCTCATGCATTCGTCTTTCTCTCTGTTAGAAATCAAATGCATCCTCCTTGTGATGGTTTGCCTGAGAATGCCCCCACGGGCTCAGATATTTGAATGTTTGATTCCCAGTTGGTGGACTGTTCAGAATTAGGAGGTATGGCCTTGTTGGGGAGAGTGTGTCACTGGGGGTGGGGGCTGGGGTAAGGTTTCAAAAGCCCATACCCAGTCCAGTCTCACTCTGCCTCATTTGTGGATCAGGATATAAGCTCTCAGCTATTGCTCCAGCACCATGTCTCCCTGCCTATTGCCATGCTCCCTGCCATGGTGGTCATGCATGGACTAACCCCCAAACTGTAAGCAAACCCCCAATTAAATGCTTTCTGTTATAAGCTGCTTTGGTCATGGTGTTTCATCACAGCAAAGGACGGTGACTAAGACACTCTTTGAGTACCTCACCTTCCATCCCCTTCACTCCACCCGTCAGTTTCCTTAGTGTATTAATCTCCTCAGAACTGCTGTTGTTTACCTATTTATTGTCTGCTGTGAGGACAGGGATTTATCTCATTTCTGGGACTCTGCCTAGTATGGAGGTAATAAACAATGTTTGAATTTCTGTCCTTAGATGGAGTGAGCAGCTGAATGCCACACCACTACAGACATTTTCTCCTCTAATGGTTCTAAGTCTGATTTCATGGGGTAAAAAAGAAGACAGCCAGCAGGCAGACACTGTTTTAGTCTCATTGTTGTAGGTGGACCATATGTCCCATGTCTAGTGTCCCTTGGTCCAGAAATCCTCAAGTCCCCTCCTCCATCCCTTCAGGAGAGACTGACAGTCCTAGTATGTTTTTACTATATCCCCCATCTCTGCCTCAGATAAGAACACTTGATCAATTTCTTCAAGGTAGTAGACTCAGTTCTGACATATGTATGTGTGTGTGTGTGTATGTGTGTGTGTGTGTGTGTGTGTGTGTGTGTGTGTGTGTGTGTGTGTGTGTGTGTAGGCTTGTTATAAAGAGACAAATGTGCTCTGGTTTTAGACTATTAACCATTATAGAATAGTGCTTCCACTTCTTCTGAGCATGAACAGTAGACAGCCTCATTAAGGCTCCCACCAGGCAATCTTTGCTGTTTTGAGCCACTAGGCATGTCCAGTCTGCTGCCATGTGTGTCTCAAGATAGCTGGAATGCAGCCTGACATGTGTGTAGACCACAATGGCATGTCATAAGGTCACAAGGTCGGACACTCCTGCTAGGGAAAGGAGCAGGCTGTTGAGTAAGACTTTTGCAGTGGCCTTTCAAAACCTGATGTCTGAAGGCCCTCCTTTAAGACAGGAGCTATCCCCAAGATGCTCCTCCTGCTAGCTACCCTCCTACTCTTTTCCTTTGAAGGCGATCAATACTCAGATGAGTTTTAGAGTAGCAGCCTTCCCAGGGTCAGAGATCGAAGTCTTTTATCAGGAGAGGTGTCAAGTCTGTGGCTCTGACGAGAGTACACCTCCGGGCAGCATCTCCTCTTAGGTTAAAGTTGTTCCAGGAAGAGAGATTTATTTCCGTCATGCCAGCCCAGATGCTGTGCTGGGTTAACCCTCTGCATCTCTAATTTAAGCCTGTCTTGGATCAGGGACTGCTTCCCCGCCCAGTCAGTCTCTACAGATTTCACTGACTGCCTACCCTAGACTCGGAATACCATAAAGTTCAGTAGAAAGCATTTCCAGTACAGCAGACTCATGTCGGAGAAAATTCAGGTCGGAACCGGCCACTACTTATAAACAACAAACAAGAAGGGGCAGAGAGCTTCATGGTGAACCCTGCCTGTTGTCAAAGCACGAAAGAGGCTGAGGTGAGAGGATCGCTGTGAGTTCCAGGCTGGCCTGGGTCATAGAGTGGGACAAATATAAAACAACAGCAATGCGTAAAAAAATCAAGACTCAAACAAGCAAGCAAGAAAACAAGGTGTCTGCATGTAAAATCCATCTCTGTGTGTGAAATCCTTCTCTGAGGGTTCATATGGCATGACTGGGGAAGGCTGCCAAACTCATCTGCCATGCTATTACAGGGGTTATCTTCCTTTCATATCAATTTAGCTTTTCAATGTGATTCGCCCAGGTTTTAGCCATCTTATTGGCATCAATCTACTAAAGAAACAATTAGCTTTCTAAAAATATCATGTGATTGATGCAGCATCTAGGAACAGAGGGTAATTGGAAGTCAGCTAAAGGATGCTGGGGATCAATTTCCTTATCCAAGAGGGCCATCTCTTTGAGTGAAAGCTTATTGGGTTCCATATTGATCACCTACAGGGAGATTAGATTTATGTATTTGGGTACCAGGGTTTCAGAGGTGTCCATGTGGCCATTCATGGAAGTGAAAGTTATTTTTATCTTTTAACGCTTAGTCCAAAGAATTGAAAAGCCCTTTGCTGGGCTTGGGAATGCAGATCTGAGACAGGGTAGGAACTGCCCTCTAGTGTGGGAATCTGCCCTCAGCTGCAATCCACCTTTCCATTCAGAAAGTCTTCCTTTGCTTCAGGTCATAAGCCCTTTTGTTGCATCTCCAACATGCCTTTCCCTCTTCATATTCCTCATCCCATGGAAACCATCAATGTCTGTGAATTTCCATATGCCAAAGATGTGTTCAAAGGGATTTGGCACTGGACTTCATGTCTGGGGCTGGGCTGGGGCAGATTGGCCCAGAGTAAGTTCCCCTGCCTGTCTTAACTTCCTAAAGTCAAGTTCCACAGTCTCAACCAAAGGAGGGCTGGTTTGCTCTTTCTTTTTAGAGAGAGCAGATGAGGAGGGTGAAGGAATTAGCATGTAATACATATGGAAGCTTTAAGGAACTATCACCACCAGCATGCTGCTGCCATGGATTCTGGTTTAAGTCATATGGAGAGGACCCAGCACAAGTGGTTTTTGAAGTGTCTTTAAGGTTGAGCATCAAAATAAATATCAGCAATATTGGATAATCTAACTCATGAGGCAAAATAAATATCTACAGCCCCATGAGGATTGCAATAAAGAACTGAATAAATAGTTAACAAATGGAGAAGTAGCCTGCCATTTCAAAAGAATTCAAATTAATAAATACAGAAAAAAAGAGGAGATTCAAAATTACTCCCAGGACAGTGTAGTAATTATTGAAAACAAAGTGTGCCAACCAACCATTGGTAGGAAAGAGATGGGAGAAATATGTTATCTGCATGGTCTTAATGTATCTCCCTCAAGATAAGTGTTAATGACCTTGTGAAAAATAGTCACTGTACAATGAGTAAATTCAGCAGGAATTCTGCCAATCAAATGGTTGTCAGCAGCAAGAGGACAGAGACACAGGTTCACATTCCACCCTCTCTAACTTGAGGAGTTTCCTTGGTAACTTAAAGGGACCTCATCTCCCGCCAAATTAGGATTTGTGACTGTGGTGCTGAAGGAACTCTAGGACCCATCGGTTTAGTGAAGCAGAGTTGGTGATGTTATTAATCGTATTTTCAATGCAGGTTTAAGATGAGGATTAAGGGAAGGAGAGGCACTCAGAAGAGAGTAACACATGCTCAACACATGCTCAAGTAGAGGTGCGTGCTCTGAAGAGAGCGCAGGAAAGGAAGACATACCCAAGCATGGACAGAGGCTCCTCAAGGGAGATAAGCAATTAATTATCCCAGAATGAGCCATTTGTACCATTTTAGTGGCTCTCAAGTTGTCTCCCAAAAGGCCCTCAAGAAGCCCTTTCTTTCCTTTCTCTCCTGATGAGACACATGAGGTGGCTCCATGATGCTGGCAAAGACTCAGACCTTCAACCAGATTCCCAGGCAGAGGACGTTTCCCACTCCTTATGTCCTCAAGGATCCTTCCTGAGCATCACTAGTAATAAACTATAGTACCGCACGTACAGTTTGATAGGAGATGTTCATCACATCTGTGGTCCCCTCCTCAGGAATGAATAACAAGCTAATTACAGGGAAATATCAAATAAATCAGACACATGGGGAATTCTAGTGTGTGAGCACTGACCAGTGCTCTTCAAAG